CAAGATTATCTTCTGTGTCTGTGTTAATTGGTTTCCCTTTTCTTTGTTGAAGAGGGTCTGTGCAATCCTTCTGCCTAGTCCGCCATCTTGCCCCGCCTCCGATGATGATATGTCTTGATGTTTTTCTTTTGGGGTCTGTTCTTGTTTGGGGTTCGTTGGACTTCCTGAATGGATATATTCTCATCTTTCATATTAGGAAAGTTCTCTGCCAACAAGTCTTGGACAATTTTCACAGAGGTTTTATTTTTCTCTTTCTGTTCTGAAATTCCGAGTACACATAGGTTATTCCTTATGATGGTATCTCACATGAACCTTAGGCTTTCTTCATTCTGTTTTGATCTTTCTTCTGACCGATCCCTTTCCAAAGATGTATTCAGGTATTTGTCTTCGATCTCATTAATTCTGTCTTCCATTGCATCAGTTCTACTCCTTTGCTCTTTTACTGTGTTATCTATTTCTGACAATTCAGTATTAATCTTCTGAATTTGCTACATGTGGATTTTGAATCATTTCTAATTTTTCATTTATTCTGTCATTTTGTTCTTGTATTTTCTTCCAAAATTCTAGGGTTTTGTCTGTGTTTTCCTTGATCTGTCTCTCCATCCTTTGAAGATACCTAAATATAATTCTTTTGAATTCCTTATCAGGGAGTTCCAATGCTGCATTTTCCTCAGGGATATGTTTTAGGTCTGTATCCTGGTTCCTTGTTTCTCTTGCTTTTTATCTTATTTCTTTGTGTGGACTGTGATGCTCTGGTATCTCCAAGGTATATTTAATTGGTATGTTGGAGTGACTAGCCCATGATTTTGGTTTTCTTTGTATGTTATCTGGTTCTGAGATGGAGAAACCTGGTGGCTGTGGAGCTATTGAGGCGGCAGGAGTCAAGGAAGACTTCCTGGAGGAAGGGAGGGTGAACTGAGGTTTGGCAGGATGAGAAGGGCGGAGAGCACTCCAGGAATAGGGAGCAGCACGTGCAAAGGCTGGGAATCTCTGGGGACACTGAAAGGGCTTCCTATGGCCAGGGCATGGGACACCAGGGTGCTGGAGGTGGGGAAGAGGCAATGGTGGATTCCAGGTTAAAGAGCTTGGTTGTAAACCTGTTGACTGGTGGGAAGAGCCATGGGGAATGTTTTAAGAAGAGGAGTGATGGAGTCAGAGTCATGGTCCTGGATGTGCAGTCTCAGAAGCTCCCTCTGCTACTGTGTGGACGGTATCAGATGGGGGTGGGGCAAGAGGGCAGAGGGCTGCAGGATAGGTGGCCACTGCACATCCAGGTGAGAAAGGACCAAGACTTGGCCTTGAGCACAGCAGCAGGGTGGAGAGGAAGGGTACTTTTTAATTCGTCTCATTTTTGTTAGTAATGTATCTACATGGTAGAGAAGCCACACAGTACAGAAGAGCCCACAGGACAAGTCCACCTCTGACCCTGAGCCTCCAGCCACCAGTCTCCTTCCCCAGAGGTGACCACCATTACCAGCCCTGTGTCTCCTTCCAGAGAGAGTCTATGCATTTGCAAGCAGATACATCTTTTTATTTATGGATACCGTTTTTATTTAAATATTTTTCCCCACCCCAGCTCATTATGAAAAATATGTGTAGAAAAGCTGAAAACCATGATAAAATGATCACCCTTATACCCCAGCACCTAGATTTAGAATGGAAACAACCCCAGTGCCATCCAGAGATACTGGCTGTGTACATTAGGGCATCTCCGTTTTGTGAGGCACAGAGCAGCCAGGGCAACGAGCAGAGCTGTTGGAACAGCAAAGAGCAGTGTCTAGTGAGCTCCCTTAGATGTGAGAAGGGAGGAGACATAAAAGTGCATGTACATATTTGCTTACTTCACAAAAAGAAACACTAGAAAGATGAATTAGAAATGAGTAAAAAGAATTCTCTCCAGAGGGTATCGGAGGATGGGGTAGAGGGAACAGGCATGGGAGCAAGACATCTCTTTTAATATGGGTTGACTTTTAAACTATGTTAAATGTTTAGTGTATTCAAAAATAAAATAAAGGGAAACAACAAAAATTGAAAACAGATCAATGTGATTAAATTTCTAGTTGATAATGTAGCATCACTGAGAGAAAATATTATTCTGAGTTATTGTTGAACCCATTCATCCATCTGCCCGTCCTTAGTGGTGTGTATCCCAAGAACAGGAAACAACTGCAGGTAATCCCAAATTTAATCCCACTGCTTTATGGTTAGTAGTAAGATCGAAGCTATCAAAGGATACCAAAAACCCAAACTCAGTGCTGTAGAGTCGGATCCGACTCATAACGACCCCTCTGTGGGTTTCTGAGGTGGTATCATTACAAAAGTAGATTGCTCAACCTTCCTTCCGAGGAGTAGCTGTGGGTTTGAACCGCCAGCCTTCCAGTTAGCCTTATCCACTATGCCACCACAGCTCCTTACTCACACTGGCTAAGAGTGCCATTTTCTTTTTCTTCCCCCTTCACCCAAGTCTACCCTCCTGTTAGTGGTTAACCTCTCTTCCCCACCTATCCATGGAAACCATCAAAGAGTATTTGTGTGTGTATGTGTGGAACCCTTTTCCTGACTTTTTATAATAGTGGTCTTATATACTATTTGCCCTTTTGTGATTGACTAATTTCACTCAGCACAGTGGTCTTTAAGTCCATCCATGCTATATCATCCCCATTTTGCAATGGGGAAAACTGAGGCATTTTGGTAAACTGACTTGGGCCAAAGTCACACTGCTTGTGGCAAAGCTGGGATTTTATCACAAGTGGGCTGGCTCCAGGGTTTCCTCAATGTGAGCATCTTAAGGGTTGAAGGCTTTTGCCAAATTGGATGGATGTGAAGACAGGATGGGTGTGAGTGATGTGAGCCCCAGTAGATGGCCCTGAAAGGTGCGCTGAACTCGCTGGGGACCCCTTTCCCTGTTTCTCTCTGACTTCTCCATAGGTACGAGGGGGTGTGGCACTAGCTCCCACCTACAATCTTCTTTGCAGATGCCTTTGTCCAGAGACTCCACAGCGGGAACGGATCCCACCCAGCCCCACATTGTAGGTAAGGTCTTCCCCTGCCCCTGGCCCTGCCATAGCCTCTGCCAGGTTCCCAGCAGGCCTGCTAGGTGGGCTTCTGGGGCCTTCAGGCAGAGCCTCTTAGCCAGGGCAAACAGGCACGCATGTCTCAACACCAGGAATCCAGAGTCCTGACCAGCAAGCCGCCCTGGCTCGCCACAACCCAGCCCGGCCTATCTTTGTCGAGGGCCCCTTCTCCCTGTGGCTCCGTGATAAGTGTGTCTATTACCACATCCTTAGAGCTGACATGCTGCCCCCTGAGGAAAGGGTGAGTATGAGGGCTGAAGGGGGTAGCCTGACACCACTCAGAGTCCTCACCATGAGAGCTCAGAGGTGCAGGCTGGGGGAGGGCAACTGTGGAGAGAGAGGCCTCCAGCCCTGCCTTCACCCTCCCTTCTGAAGTAGGAAGTGGAGGAGATTCCGGAGGAGTGGAACCTCTACTACCCTATGCAGCTGGACCTAGACTATGGGAGGAGCAGCTGGGATGACTATCAGTTTGACATCGATGAAGGTAAGGTGGAGAGGCAGGACTCTACCACACAGGATGAGGCGTGCCGTTGGGGATCAAGGGGTGGGGTCCAGGCTGAGACAATCCACTATCCACACAGACTCAGCAGAGGCACAAGTACACACACTCCCACCCCACAGGGGCTCCAGACCTGAGGCCACCTAGCCACACTCCATGGTCAAACACCACACTTGAGCTCAAGGCCACAGGCCTGTGAGGGCTTGGTTTTCCCCTCTACACATTTACGTACTTTTGTGTTATTCCCTGTGTGCTGGCTACTGGGTGTGACCAAGACAGCAGGGGACTATGCAAGTTCCATTCTTGGGAGCCCAGGAGTGGGGCACACCACTCAGCCTTGGGGGAGGTGGGTTACTCACAGAGTTTCCTGGTGAAATCTTAAAGAACCTGAAGGCTTCACCCAGGTAAAGTGTGGGAAGTCCAATCTAGGCCAAGGGAACAGTTTGTTCAAAGGCTGGGAAGCTCAAGAAAGCTGAAAGGAAGCAGAAAACTCCTGCCCTTGGCTTGAAGGATTTGTGGGGTACTGGAGAGCTGCTTCAGTCTTCATGGCACAAACTCTGAAGGCCTGTCTCTCCCAACAGTGGAGGAAGGTCCCGTCTTCGCCATGTGCATGGCAGGTGCTCACGACCAGGCCACACTGGCCAAGTGGATCCAGGGCCTACAGGAGAGCAACCCTGCTCTGGCCCGGATCCCCGTGGTCTTCCGCCTGTCAGGGTCCACTGGTGAGCTCCTGGCAGCCACCCCGAGGATGGAGGAGCCACCACCAACACCACGCCAGAGCCAGGACGAAGAGGAAAACAACCTGCATCAGCAACAGCAGGGCCAGAGCTGAGCCTGAGCACAGGCTGTGGCCTGAGACTGGACTGGCGTGAAAGCATGAAATGACCTTAGAGTGTACAGTAAATAAAAAGTCTTCTTGTCGTTCCTCCTTTATTGGCAGTGTGCCATCCCTTCCCCAAGATCTCAGGTCGGGCAGCGACAGTCAGGCAAGACCTGCTCCTTTAATAACTGGGGGCACTCCTTTTTAATGGCTCTCCACCATCCAAGACTGACTGGGTGCGTTCAGAATGCAGGCGCCAAGGGAGAAACCCTTTCCCCAGGGTCTATCATTCTGGTTCTGCCTTCCGGCTGCTGGCCCCGAACCACTAGCTTCTACATTCTATGCAAAACTAGAAAGTTTTAAGATTAAAGACAGGGCGTAAGAGGATGTACGCATGCGCAATTCTCGATCTCGGGCTTCTTTTGGCGCCGCGGGGCAGTGATAGACCATGAGAAATTTCCCGGCGGCGCAGAAGATGCGCGCCACTTCCGGTTGGGCTCCTAACAACGGGGGAGGCTAGTTACCAGGGAGGGGGGGATGGCGGAGCGGGCGCCGGAGCCCAGGGCGGAGGCGGAGGCGGGCGCAGGAGGGGAGGCGGCGGCCGAGGAGGGCGCGGCGGGCCGCAAGGCGCGCGGCCGTCCGCGACTCACGGAGTCGGACCGGGCCCGGCGGCGGCTCGAGTCCCGGAAGAAGTACGACGTGCGGCGTGTGTACCTGGGCGAGGCGCACGGGCCCTGGGTGGACCTACGGCGCCGCAGCGGCTGGAGCGACGCCAAGCTCGCCGCCTACCTCATCTCGCTGGAGCGCGGCCAGCGTAGCGGCCGCCACGGGTGAGGGGGCCCGGTCCGAAGGAGGGAGGGAGCGAGGGAAGAGACGCCCCCATCCCCCGCCGAGCCTGGTCCCGCCCTCTCCGGCTCGAGGCCCTGCCCCCGGCACCTGTGAGCCCCGCCCAGGGGCCAGGCCACCAGCCTGGGTCTGGGACTGCTGGTCCCCGGACGCTTCTGGCTTGCGACCCCGCCTCCCATCGCTCCAACTGCCCAATCCAAGGTATGCGCCCAGCTTCTCGGCCTGCCTCCTGGGCACTTGGCCCCGCCTGCTAGATCTCTGATTGCCCAATCTTGGGACGAGCCCCACCCCCAAGCGTTCTAACGGCCTGGTCCCGGGACGGACGGCCCCGCCCCCTGAGACCTCAGCTGGCGGGAGGCTCTTACAGTCTTTACCCCCTGAAACCGTCACAACATTGCTGGTTCCTGCGCCTCGTAAGTTCTGGTGCCCCACCTGGTTCACTTACCACAACGCTAAGCCCCACACACCGTGGCCCCAATACACCGGGAGACCACTCATAATCCACATCAGACTTCGCTAAACCTGTTGGCTCCAGGGGAGCGCCTCAGCCCGGCGACACTTCACCAGGCTCATACTGGGGTCCCAGGTGAAGGGGAAGCCCAGTTGCCAAGTCTCAATCTTGAGTATGAACAGTATGGGTGGAGTTTGCCCCTCTCTGCCTTGCAGATTGATGTGAGCATTAAAAATCAAACTCACTGCCGAGGAGTTGGATCCGGGATCCGACTCATAGCGACCCCTCCTTGGGTTTCCAAGGCGGTATCATCACTACGGAAGTAGATGTGAGCATTAAATGAGTTAAAATGTGAAAAAGGCCTAGAACAGTGCCTGGCACACAGCAGGCGATGGGTCATGTATATTCCCTATCACTAGCATTGCAACAAAAGCCTAGTTCTGCCCTGGTTTTCCCTTGCACGCATTCACATGTTTTGTTGGGGGGGATTCTGAATGTCAAGAATCAACTAATCCTGCCTAAGTGTTCTCCCAACCCCCACACTGGGTGGCAGGCTGGTTTATAACCACCAGCAGGGCAATGAGCTCTTTAAATGTTTTGTTGTTGTTGAGAATATACACAGCAAAACTTACATGACTTCAACTCTTTCTACATGTACAATTCAGTGACATTCTTTGAGTTGTGAACCATTCTCACCCTCCATTTCTGAATTGTTCCTCTGTCATTCACATAAATTCACTGCCCCTAAGGTTTCTCTCTGACCTTTGGATTGATGTTGTCAGTTTGATCAGGTAGTTCTTAAAGGAGCATAATGTGTAAGGCAGACATTTTTTATTAGTTAAGCTAAACTATTGTTTAAGACTTCCGGGAATATTTTTGTTTTAAGGTTTAAGGATTATGTCAGGGCAATAGTTGCAGTGGCTCAGCCAGCCTTCATGGCTCCAGAAAGTCTGGAGTGCATGAAATTTTGAAATTCTGTTCCACATTTTCCCGTTATGTCAGGATTCTTCTGTAGAATCTTTGAAATGTTCAGTGATGGTTGTTGTTGTTATGTGCTGTCGAGTCGGACCCGACATAGCGACCCCTCCTTGGGTTTCCGAGTCAGTATCACTACGGAAGTAGATTGCCCCATCTTCCTTCTGAGGAGTGGCTGGTGGGTTTGAACCACCAGCCTTCTGGTTAGCAGTCAAGTGCCTTAGCCACTATGCTACCAGAGCTCCTCTAGTAGACCTTTAAAAGTTTTAGAAGCCAGTGCCCTGTCCTTGGGGCTGTTAATTCAGTTAGTCTGGGTGGGTTTGCAGACCTTGTATTTTTTTTTTTCAGAAAAGCCCCCAGGGAAACTTGGATATGCAGCTGGGGTTGAGGACCACTGGCCAGACACAGTCCCTGGAGGTTCCTAAAATGAAGGTGATGTTTGCAGAAGCTTGGTTTGGCTGAGCTTGAGCTGTATGGACCTGTAGGACTTGGGGGTTGCCAGGCAGTGTGTGTGACAAAAATCTTGCCCTGAGGCCACTTGACTATTCAGGAAATTACACTAACCTGAATAAGAGTCTCCTGTGGGGAGTAGACATGACCAGAGGTAGGACTGTGATTAATTACCGATAATGTGTCTTATACCTGGAAGGATTTCAGTTCAAGAGCGATAAAACAAGGACAAGAAGACAAATGCATATCAAGGTGAAAGGACAAACAAAAACAAGGGACACAGAGAGACCAAGGTCAGTTCTACTGGATCAGCTGAGGTAGAGGTCAGTAGGAGTATGATAAAGACAGGTTTGTGGCATGGTGGGTCAAAACCTGATCAGGGAGTTCAAAAGATGTGAAGAAGAAGGGATAGAGAATGAGCCATGAATTTGCCTTGCAGCTTCCTAGAAGCCAGTGGGAAAAAGCAAACATGGTCAGTTGTGGAATTTCTAATGTCTTTTCATTTGCCAAGACATTTAGAAGATAGCAACATGGCCAACGGACAAGAAGAGGTCCGTATTTGTACCATACAAAGGTAATCCAACAGAATGTGGAAATTCTCAAACAATATCATTAATGTCACACATAAGTAAAATTTTGCCAAAGGCAATTCAAAAACAGTTGCAGCAATATAGTGATAGGGAACTGCCAGAAATTCAAGCCACATTAGAAGAGGGCGAGGAATGAGTGATATCATTAATGATATTAGATGTATCTTGGCTGAAAGCAAAGAATACCAGAAAGATGTTTACCTGTGCTTTGTCGACTATGCAAAGGCATTTGGCTGTGTGGATCATAACAAATTATGGATAACATTGTGAAGAATGGAAATTCCAGAGCACTTAACTGTGCTCATGAGGAACCTGTACATGGATGGACTAAGAGGCAGTCATTTGAACAGAACAAGGGGATACTGCATAGTTTAAGGTCAGAAAAGGTGTGTGTCAAGGTTGTATCCCGTCACCATACTTATTCAATCTGTATGCTGAGCATATAATCCAAGAAGCTGGACTATCTGAAGACCGTAGCATTAGGATTGGGGGAAGACTCATCCCAACCCACGATATGCAGATCACACAACCTTGCTTGCTGAAAGTGAAGAAGACCTGAAGCACTTACTGATGAAGATCAAAAACTATAGCTTTCAGTAGGGGTTGTGCACCTCAACATAAAGAAAATGAAAATCCTCACAACTGGACCAATAAGCGACATCACAATAAATGGAGAAATGTTTGAAGTTGTCAGGGATTTCATTTTATTTGGATCCACAATTAACACACTTGGAAGCAGTAGTCAAGAAATCAGACATAGTATTGCACTGGGAAAACCTGCTGCAAGAGACCTCTTTAAAGCGCTAAATACCAAAGATGTCACTTTGAAGACTAAGGTGCCCCTGCCCCAAGCCATGATATTTTCAGTAGCCTCATATGCATGTGAAAACTGGACAATGCATAAGGAAGACTGAAGAAGAATTGATGCCTTGTGAAGAATACTGAAAATGCCATGAACAGTCAGAATAACGAACAAATCTGTCTCAGAAGAAGTATAGCTGGAATGCTCCTTAGACGTGAGAATGGCCAGACATCTCATGTGCATTGGTCATGTTGTCAAAAGGGACCAGTCCCTGAAGAAGGATATTATGTTTGATAAAGTAAAGGGTCAGATAAAAAGGGGAAGACCTTTAATGAGGTGGATCGACACAGTGGCCACAGCAGTGGGCTCCAGTATAGCAAAAATTGCAGGATGGCACAGGACCGGGCAGTATTTCATTCTGTTGCACATAGGGTCTCTGTGAGTTAGAACCTACTTGACGGCACCCAACAGCAACTTTCATTGGTTTAAGAAATGTTTATTGAGCATCTCCTATGTTCCGGATGCTGTTAATGGGTGCTGACTATATAGCAGGGAACAAAACAAAAATCCCAGCTTCGTGGAGCTGACATTTTTCTTTGGGGGAGAAGGGGCAGGCGTTGCACAGACAAGAAACATTATAAGTAAATTATATAGTACATTAGAGAGCGATAGGGTCTATGGGTGGGGGAAAGGCAGAACAGGGAAATAGGAATCAGGAGTGGGAGTTGGAAGTTTAAATAGGGTGGTTAGGATGTGGCACACTGAGAAGCCAATGTTTGAATAAATACCTGAAGGAGGCAAGAAGGAGTTAGGCAGTTATCCAAGGGAAGAGTGTTCAAGACAGAAAACAGCAGTGCAAAGGCCCTGAGGCAAGACCTTGCTGGGTATGTACAAGTAA